CTATTTCCAGTCGATCTTTTGTAAGAGGGTTATACTTACCTGGACGAGCCACTCCGTGCCCGAGCTATAGTGACTAGTCCACAGCTAGACTCTAACACCTTTAAAAACTACTGAGTAGATTGTAATTAAACCTTACTATAATATATATTATATATCTCATATATCAGGATTGCTTGTAAGCTATAATATAATCCCAAATTCCGTGTAGTTCCCGCGGGAACACGGATGAGCATTTGCATTTTGTATGAAGTTACGTGATAGCGACGATAGATGGCATTAGCGCTTGAATATATAATTATTACATCTTGGTGGTGTAATCTATTTATTATTCAGTTACATGTTATTTTAAACACAATATTATATATCCTGTGAAAATTTAGGAAAACTGAATTTCAATAAAGAGTTCCGTACGCCGTGTTGATCTCATATTCATGACAGCATTCCAAAAATTAGCCAAAACTGTTCACAACATGTAAGGCAGACCCTGACTTATGCTTTTAAAATTGCCGGGTAGAAGAAGAAGAAGATATATACATATTTATATCTTATCCATGTGAGAAGAGGCTTTTGCTCATCAGTGGGCTCTGATAGGCTGATGATGATGATGATATTATAACATAGAAATTTTATATATACCATAATGTATTATGGGTCTTATAAACACTTTGTTTTAATTAAAAATTCCTGATTGAAAACGATAATTTAAATTCGCCAATTAAAAACACATTTAACGTTAACAAATATTACTCAGCTTATTTTTAATTAGCAACTCAAACAGTTTCAGAATTCATAATTAATTGGAACAATTTAATGAAGTTACTAAATAAATTTCGTCTAAGCACAGAAATAATTTTATAGTTTTAGTCTGTTTTACTAAATTTACTTATTATTTGGCTTCTAATTAGACCTCCTTAATTAAACTTTATCTGTAGCCTGAGCTAGTTTTAGCATTTTAAACATATAAGTAAGAATCGTTCATTTTAACATATACATAACATTTTTTAACATTTATTCTTGGATAAATAAATATATTTGGTTCTTAAAAATGGTCTCTTGATTATGAAACTCGGAATTAGTTTTTGCTTCCAAATCGTAAATACGATTAAGCAGAATACATTTCTCTACAACAATTTACTACTATAAGAGACGATACAACTTAGCGTTCAATACATATAGCGTTCAGTGTAGGTTTAAGGGGCCCCTTAACTAACGCGCGTTATACGCTCACCTCAACCGTCCAAGCTCCTCTCTCTACCTAACCAAATTTGAAAAGAACCTAATAGGTCTGCCTTCGAAGTACGTTCCAAGAATGAATTAATGTGAATTCTGGAAAGGCCAAAGTGTTTTAATAGGTTGTAGAGAGATTTAGCTGTTATGCCTCTCACTCCGGAGAGAGAGAGTAGAAATGGGTCTACCGCGTAAAAATCCACGACGAACCTATTTCAAATCGAATAAAGTATGTATGTATAAGATAAATTTTAAATTTATATTATTACTGAGGATTTTGACAGATTTGAAATCACATCAGTCATTCATAGATTTCACATCAAATGGAAAAAAGATGGCCTTTTTATTCTACAACTCCCTCGTATATTATCATGTTGGAAATATTCAACAATTTCATAAACAGTTTTTGTTATTCATGTTTCAATAACATCGCCGTGTATGTATGTTTGTGAGTAATATTTCTGTTGTTTGGTGAAAGCGTTGTAACTGATTCCTGTTTGGAATCGCTTTTTAGATAATTAACAAAATTTCAAATTATTTATTATCAGTATTATGGCCTTTGCATAATGTATCTATTGTTCAGAAGTTACTCGTTATTATTTAGTGTTACATGATATTGTTAGTTTATAAAAAAACAGGAATATTTTTATTGTAATTTTCTCAATATAACTTATAGGTAATTATGTTTTTATGTATTTGTCTGTTTATGAATTTAAACAGGGATTTAAATTTACTTAATTAATGTGTGAATATTACAAATATGTGAATAAAATTATCAGGTCTTACCTGTATAATCATCTGCTTAGCCGTTTGTGCAAGTTCAGTTACAACAATGAGTGGTTAGTATAAACAAAGGCGAGGGTAGAGGTCAAAAATTGTTTCACTTGGTCGTTGTAGAGATCGGGCCTCTTTGAAATAAAGGATTCGTCAAACCGGCTATGAGGTTTTCTTCTACAGCCTGAGAGCTTGGCGACAGAGACAAGAAAGGCATTGGTGACGTCTGTTGTGCTGACGTCATGCTCTTTAAAACCTACGAAGGGGATTCTAAATCCGACATATATACATTTAATAATGTTTTATTAGTTTTAACTATCAGTAATACTTGCAATTATAATTCACTATTTATAAAAAATCTCTATCACAATAATTATTTCTCGTTTTCTTGTTCATTGTTATTTTTCAATTGACGCTTACGCATTGTAATGTTTATATCAATTATGATAATTTACTGTTGGTGTGTGATATTTAATTTTTTATAAGATACATAATTAAATTCGTAGGCGGTGAACACACTATGTGACTTATAAGAGACATAGTAGGTAAGTAAATAGGCTGTTGCCTATACTAATCTATTTAGATTTGAAGATATCCCAATTATAATTGGAAGGAGGCACATCCGCATATAGACCGTTCCATTTTTTTTGCTGTTAAGACATGTTTTGAAGACCATAAACCATTTTTGTGATTACCTAATACATTAATAGAAAAAAGCAAGAAGAAATGAAGACAGCTAAAAAAACTTAAAATGAAAATTATTATTACGATCTACTATAGATAATAGGCACTTTGGTAGTATAATTTTGTTTATAATAATAATTTTATGTTTATTAACACAAATAATATCTTTTGTTTGTTATATTAAGATATATAACAAATACTATATTATCATTGCTAAAATAAAATGTTAAAATATTTTTGTAAACGAATACTTTGACGTAATAAAATTATTTTAAGCTAATTACATCGTTTTAACAGCAAAACATTTCAACGAACTCTATCTCAGAGGTAGCTGGTAATTTGTTTTTGTGGCCTTCAAGGGCCAACTTAATGTTGAATTTAATAAAAATTATGGTTTATGAACATCATTTAGCTGTTTAGACAAAATGAGAAAAATCTCAATTTAATAATATTTCTCTATAAAAATATATGAAGTGAGTGTAAATAATATTCTGCTTTTTATTTAACGTTTCGAAAACCAGAATATTACGTATTTATGTCACTTCAACATAATGTGGGAACGGTTTTTTTGTCTTTCGTTATATAAAATACTAAAGTCTTTGTAGTTAATAACACCTTGATATTAATTCCATAATGTATTGTTTTGAATATAAATAAAATATTCATTATTATTGCTAAATAGATTCCAGACATGGTTAGAATTTCCATCCCAATAAATATTTTGTACATTACATCACAAAGTTCATAAACGTATGTAATTTAGGAGATGTTTAAAGATCCATCAATGTTAAATACAACAGTCAGTGGAAACATTTCAATAATATCTGTTTCTTTAATTAAGTTATTTACTTCAAAACAATTTTCTTCAAAGAGAAGAAAATAAATCGGCAAAGATGAATCATTGAACTACTTAAGGCGAGGGTATGTTGGCTAAAAACAAATACATTGGTGTAGAATAATCTTTGTATGTTTGTTAAAAAAAATCATGGCCTTAATGAGGCTTGAAAATTTTATTTCGTTTTTTTTATGCTAAAGGGGGAAACGGAGCCGACGGCCTACCTAATTGAGATAGTACCGTCGTCCATAGACATTCGCAACATAGATTTCCGGATGTGTTACCAACCTTGATTGGGGAATTGGGGGAAAAGGTGGGAAAGGGAGGGAAAAGGGAAAGGTCAGGAAAGGGTGGGAAAAGGGAAAGGACAACCGGCTCTCTCACTCATCGGACAAGAAGCAGCCGTTAAAGACTACTTCACGCCGATCTTCCGTGAAAGGGTGGTACTTTTACGTTAAAGCCAGCACATGTTCGAGCTTAAGTAATTTGACTACAGCAATGCTCTGTCACCTCAAAAACAATTACTTCAACAATAAGTTATTTTGACTCTTGAATTAAAGTAATATGTAAATAATAATTATTTCTTATTATTCATTCATCGCACCAACTTTCGGTTCCGTAGTCAGTAACAGAGAATGAAATACTAAGTGTAAAATTTAATGTTCTATAGTGAGTAAACAAAGATAAGAATAAAGACCTAGTGCAAAATAATGTTAGAGTTGAACTGTGGCTTAGTGAGTTTCATAGAACAGTAGTTTCCTTCAGACATCAGATTCATATAAATAATGGTACTCATGTATACCTAATTATTCATTCATTAACTTCTAACAAATACTATTGTTGCTACCATTGTTGTATCTGCAATTATAAATTAAGTACTGCTTTATTCAGAACTTAATTACTGATATAAAATTATATAGTAGAATTTAAGTCTTTAATGGTTAACAATTAAGTATATTATTTTACTTTTGTAAAAGTGAAAAAGCTTTTTAATGACGATATTTGTGATATAAAAATTGCAAAAAAATACTGAGTGTTTTCAAAAAGTAAAGAATAATAATAAATAATTTCATACAAAATAAGCCTTGTTACGTACGCGCTACATATAAAAAATAAATGAACATCACCGGGCGACATCTTTGTATGGATAAAATATCATATAACGACTGATGTCGCCGACTCCGCGGAACAAACACCAAGCCGTGTGAACCAGGAGATTCCTGATACCACACAAGCTATGGAATGGTATTGCTATCCTAACATCAGGACCGACATGTAGTCGCAGGAATAGTTTATAAGTTTTGATATATAATTCTTATTATAATATACATATAAGTAAATTTCACAGTTTTCCTGGAACCTTTATAATATTGGTATCTCCCCAGTAATATGAAACAAAACTATTAATACATTACACGTACTTATATATAAAGGTAACACAAGCTGCAGAGCGGTTCGATTTCATATCAGTGAATGCAACATGAATTCCGCAGAACTAAGGACTATGAACGCTCAGGAATTTAATAATGCGGGTCCCGTGATTGTTCCTCAGAGCTTTGAGAACATACCCAGGTGAAACTAACAAGTGATAGCGATTAAAAATATAGAAAAATCATTTTTAATAAGAGTATTGTATGTATTCTTTATTAGTTACAATCAAGGGAGAATTTAAATGAAACTACTATTTTTTCGGATATACTACGCGTGCTTTATTTTCAGCAACCGTGACCACGGGCAGACGAGATGTGAGTGTCTATCAGTTGGTCTTGTTATTAAGCATCTTCTGAAAACTGTTTCTTAATTTTCTGGAGTACGCTCTGGAATTGAGAGAAAATTGTTTGTACTCTTTTTATTTTTAAAAAGTGATAATATTTTGTAAAATTTTTAACTGTAACAAAATTTTTAGTGTCAATGCTTTTTACTTATACTTTTCTACCACGCCACCTTCTATCACTCGGACCACGCTCTATGTAAAGTAGATATTAGAACAAATTTAAGTATTTACATCCTTTGAAAGTTCTCTTTATAAGGAATTTACTTTTTCAAAAAGGTATGTTGTTAATTAATGTTTTTGCTCCATTATTGTTCAAGATACGTATTTCTATTGAACTAGATTTTTCTTTTGTAATTTCTATGTTCTTGTATCAGTGATTTTATTTATTATTCTTTTTTTATTAGGTGTGTCCAGAATAAAATATTCAATTTTTTTTTCTTCACTTGGGACTGAGAGATATCTTAAAAAATATATCGTTTGTTTGGTTATGAAAACAGTTTTTTTAAAATATATATTTTCTTCTATTACTACTTTTAAAGGTAATTGTCGAGTAATCCACGTTAAAGATAATTAATTTAATGATAAAATTGCCATAGAAGAATTATGTTCACATATGACTTCTTAATTATTTGGAAACCAGTCTTCAGTCTGACACACTTATACATATGTTCTCAAAAATATTTTCTTTGTAAGCAAAATATATTTCATCGAATGTGCTTGTTCTATGTATATAAGAAGTAAAAGTTCCTACGAGATGTATAAAACGTGAAACCAACACATATAAGCTTGTATTTGGATTCCGCTGTAGCTGTCCTTTGCAACCAAATTGAATAACGATTGCTATTTATAGAACGACCAAGATTTAGTTCAATTTAGGGCATTATAGTCTCAATGGTGAGTCTACTGGTCGGTGATTCTATAAACTGTTGTTTTATTTTCTATTCATAGTATACTTAACATCATCGTATATTTTCACTCATTGGTTATTTTGTTACATCTACGAAAAAATGACTTCTTTATCTCTCTGACGAGCGCTTAACGCGCTTTAGCTAGGCGTCCCTTATACGTACACCTGGGTCGCAAGTCCCAGGCACTGTTGAAACTCCTCTCCCTGCAACGATGAACCCGGCACCCGCACGGGGAATACGTGGAATGCTGAGAAGTTTTCATACGTCTTCATTCGTCTTAACAGAAGTACTGCAAGTCATAGGCCGCAAATAAGTTTAATATTTGATATTGGACCCTAGGATTTCAGGTTACCCAATAAGTTCTGAATAAACTATGCGAATCTACATAGATTTTTTTTAGAAAGAAATATGTAATTTTTTTCCAAAACAATATTATTAACAACTTATTCCGAGAATCATTATTTCAATACTGTGAGTATTGTGATTGCCGTTAAAAGTGGTTTTTTTATAATTGATTGGAAGAAACCAGAAATTCTTTTAGAATGATATCATATAAGTATTGTATGGAAATTTTTGATCTGCAAAAAGTCGGTTGTCTTCTCGACAGACAAAAAATGTCATTGAACTTTCTGTGCTAGTACATTGCACAGCTGCATTTTATTACCTTTTCAGAACTCTTAAAATTTTTAAAACCTTCTCTTTACCATAAAAGAATTTTTTTCGTGCAAATAAATTAAATTCAGGTTCAAGTAGTTACTCCTTTACAAATTAGTCATGTGATTACTTTATTTCATAAATAAAAAAAAAAATTATCAATATTTAAGATGTTTTATTTACAAAAAGTCCTAAAGGTGTCCCAATCTTGGAACCAAAATAGACAAAAACTCATTTTTAAAACGGTTAAAGTTGTGAATCACTTCTATGTATTTTTATCCTGCAGCACTCTTTTTTTTCATCACAAATGCTTCTTTCCTTTATTTCTATTTTCCCAATGAACGTACATCAGGCAGACCGGATCTAACATTGGCATTTAATTGAATGTTTTTAAAGTCTTTTTAACTAAAACAAGTCTAATTTATTTCTTTCGTATGTGTATATCTTTGTATTGGGATATATATATATATATGTTTTTTTATGAAGATAATTATTATATATTGATGACTCCATGGGACTAAAATTTTGTAAATCTAATTATTTTTAGTATACAAGAAGTGTTATGCGTATACCACAAATATATGTTATTTAACAAAAAATATTACTGATATTAGGAATAAGAAATTGTTACGAGAAATATGCTTTTCTTGAGACCGTTTAGTTTGGGAATTTTGAAAGAAAAGTGTAGGACTCATATCTTTTTGTAACAATTTTTTATAGGGTTATTATTAGCTTAATATATCAGCTAAAAACAGTTTTATCATTAAAATTTAAATAATTTGATAACATATAAATTTACTTGTAATTAATTAACAAAACAAACACATTTATTACCATAACTATTTAAGTATCATAATTTTTCACTTTTTCATCGAAATGGGTTCGAAATTTATTGCGTTATACATATATTAAATGGAACATTCTCTCTTATATAAAATAACTATAATATTTGTTATCACATAAGTGAAAAAATAATTTTATTTTCATACAAAATTTAATATGATTCTGTGTTTCATTGTTACTAGATTGAGCTACATTGTACGTTTTAGAAACAGTTCCTAATCTCTCGGGAGTTTTAGTACAAAAAGCAACTTTCGCCTTATTTTATCAACATCGCTGCCTGAATTCAAATTTAAATCCAATTGACTTTATATTTTTTACTTGATTTACAAATAACCTGACACATTCACTAAGATGTACCTGAATATTAATACAAACTTTTTTAGTTAGTTTCGATACTTTGTGACCAAAATAGGTTTATAATTAGCGACATAGTTCGAGTTTGTTCACACGTACACATGAAAATAAACATTTATAAAAAGTTATTTTTGATGATCAAAATGTGTTCTATATAAACTTAACTTTTATAAAATATTTATGTAATAATATTAAAAAGGCATTGTAGTGTCTTTATATAAAATAGATTAAATAGAGTCGATACTATATACAAATAATATGTAATTGTTTTCATCTATAAACACGCAAAGTAAGTGTCTGGAAAGGTAGATTAGGAATTAAAAAGGATGGATCAGGTGTTGTTTTTAGGTGAAGGCTATGAAAATGAAAAACCATGTCAACAACAAAATATAATGAGGCTCTTATGTTTAGAATAATTAAGCCTTATTTGGTTAAGGTTAAGTGGTAAGGTAATTTTTCAAAATATACAGCTAAAAGCTGTATATTTTTATTTAAAATACAATTTCTACCAAAAATGAAACATTTTAGATATTTTTCTATTAATTTTTAGTGATCAAAGACAACCCCTTATAACTCCCGAAGCGTTTTGTAATATTAATTAATTAGTGTATGTAGTGCATTAATTTAAGATATATATTGAAATTTATAAAAATTGAATAATGTACAAATAATAGTGAGTTATTATTTTATTTTATTTTTTAAATGAAAAAATAGTGAGTTCTAGTTAAATAAATTAATGACTTAATTTTAATAAATTATTTCCTTTTCTTGACGTATTATTATACGAATTACATCACTTTACAAACATTAAACATCATTATTATTTTAAATATTTAAATATAGAGCTTTAGTCCTTAGAGTATGTAAAATATATACAATTAAAATCTCATTAGTGTCACACGAGAAAACTGTTTGTGAGATTCTCGTAGACGAGTGTGAATTGCAATTAATAAATTCCAGACTTAGCAAGTCTTAGAACATTCAATCTACACTGCATTTATACCCTCGAGACTATGCAACATTTAACATGAAGAATTGTAGAATGGGAGATACGTTTAGGTACCGACTTTTTCCAGATTTTGCTGCCATATCCCTCAAAACAAGACATCATGTGCATGACGGTTTTTTTATGAATTAGGATTTTTGAAAATACTTTTTACTTTCGACTAATATGTTTGTATTTCATATTGAAAGTGATTTCGCACCTTCAATGATTTCTTCACCTTGTTAACACTACTACAGTCTATAGTTATAAAGTTTATGGTTCTAATACCAATTAAAATGTGAAATTCAGAAGCATTGTAATATATTAAAAAAAAGACTAATCTGTTGTTATATGTATTAAACACCAGCTTCTCGTCCTGATTTGATTTTTGTTAAATTTTTACCATTTCTTTATATTTCTTTAATGGTGTTTTTTATATGCAGTGCTAGATAATTTTTTCGGGCAAAAATTAAGCCCAAATAACTCAAGGTGAATGTAGCTTTCCCATGGTAAATGATTTTTGAAATAGGAGTAGTGATTTTTAAATTAATAAAAAAATGAAGGGTTTTTTATAAAGGTATTTTTTATCTATTAACTCCAGACAGGATTAGAAATTATTTTGAAACTTTTACCAAACGCTTTGTTCTGAGTTTTTTGTCAACATTGTCACCAACTGAAAAGAGTAGTTGGTTTCTTTAAATTATTTTATTCTAGATGGTTACTTTGAATATAATATACTTTTCAAAGATAGCCATAATTAATCCAATTGCCAGGAAGACTCAGTGTTAAGTGTGAGTTGCTTGAGATAATGGTCATAAAGACTGACCAAATACTGATACTAGATCTCAGATAATTCAAGATAAACGGAACTAGCAATAAATTTATGAATAGTTCTGGAACCTAACACTAATATTCGTTGTAAAACATTACGAGTATTCAAAAGGATTATCAGGACTAACTTGTCACTTAACACTTTGTTTTCGAATATATGTAATCCATTGGAGGCGTTAAACAAATATTTATACACTATACATATGTATATGCATTTCAAAAT